TGGGCTTTGGGTCTCCACTCCATGCTCCCCCTCATTCACAATGATATGATTTTTTTGTTCTTTGATGCCTGGCTGTGCTTTTTATGGAAACAGACTGCCACATCTTTTTGAAACCCCAACCTTGAAGTTCATAGCCATGTGCTTAATCACTGCACCACCAGGGCCCCCTTTCTCATAAAGATGTACAGACTGGGAACCCTGTGGAGCAGTAAGTCTCCGCATGAGATTGCTCAGAGTTGGAATGAACTCAGCAGCAATGTTTACAAAGAATTTTTAGTCATATGGAAAATTATGAGGCTATCCTATTAAATGCATAACAAAACAAACCCATTCTGTCGAGTCAATTTTGACTCATAGTCACCCTTATCTAGGGTTTCTGAGGCCTTGTAAAACCTTTTATCTGCCCCCTTGGCGTGGCTGTTGGGTTAAATGAAAAATACTAGTGAAAATACTTAGTCAAAATAAACCCAAAAGTCAGAATACAGAATGGCAAGCACATATACTGTTATCTTAGCAATATGAAAGCACAAAAAACTAAATATAATGTTTTAAATGAGAAGAACTGTGGTTATATTGCTTATGACAGACAAGAGCAGTTCAAAAAGCTAATATCATAAAAAATGAAAAGTCAGGTATGGAAAAAAACTGTTGTCAATTAAGATATATCCAAATGCAAAGCTTGTAACAAATCAGTTATTGAATTATGTGTGTAATCTGTATATGAAATAGCTCATTAATAACTGTTTTTAATATTTTTTTAACTTTGAAGTACTTTTTTAGTTAAAATTTTTTTTAGTTACAAATTTGTTTGTTAATTTTAGTGTGATAGTTTCATTGGCTTACATTGGAGATAGTCCTTATTCTAAAAAGAAAGATACTGAGGTATTCAGAGGCAGTGTCTACAACTTAATTTTAAATGGTTCAGAAATTAAAACAGGATGTATGTGGTTAGAGAGAGATCATGAAAGCAAATTGGGCAAAGTGTTCAGAGATGGTTAATATAAATAAAAGGCATACAAGGGGGTATCAAAAAAAACCCAGAATTTTTTTTCCAAAGCAACATATTTAATTTTTTTTTACAAAACAACCTTAGGACCTTGGAAGTGTTCTCCATTATGCTTAATACATTTGTCAAATCTATGATTCCATTCTTGGAAAATTTTTCAAACTCATTTTTTTGGATGGCAGACAGCACCTCCCTTGTTTTTCTCTTCACCTCTTCCATTTCTTCAAATTGCTGTCCTTTCATTGCCCTCTTCATTCATGGAAACAAACAGAAGTCACATGGAGCAAGGTCAGGTGAGTAAGGTGCATGGGACAAGAGAGGCATGCTGGGTGTTTTGCCAAAACTGGCACACTGAGATGGCTGTGTGCGTTCCTGTGGTGGCAAAACCAGTCCCCTGTCTGCCACAAATCAGGCCTTCTTTGTGTCACACTATTAGACAATCTTTCAGAACCTCTAAATAGAAAGCTTGATTAACAGTCTGACCTGGTGGAGCAAACTCCAAATGCACTATAAGATACTTACTAATATATCACTGTTGGTTCACCATTACAGTAATGACTTTTGATCATTGCTAACAATAACATAACCTAACAATCGGTAGGATTTGGGAAGACTTTTGCTGAACAGTCATGACCTGAATTAAACCACATGCTTTAGTCAGGAGCCTCATGCCATTTTCTCATTTTGCAAAACTAAATTACACTCATCCCTGAGCTTTGTAGTTTGGGGCTTCCAGTCTCTATCTGGCCATTGAATTTTCTACCACCTCCCCTTTGCAGCCCTGAGCCAGACAGCTCTCTGTCTGCTCAGTCTCCTCACAGCATGCCTCTAGAGCAGAGATGCGGGTATCAGAGTGAGCTTGCTTTGCTGGGCTCAGATACTTACAGATTTTTATTTCCCTCCCCCAGTGTTTTCCCTCGTGAACTGAAAGAAGTGTTTGCATCGTGGAAGCATCAGTGCCTGAACCGCGGCAAGCAGGACATCAGTGAGCGGCTCATTAGTGCCTCCTTGTTTCTCCGGTTTCTGTGCCCGGCCATAATGTCTCCCAGTCTTTTCAACCTTATGCAGGAGTATCCTGATGATCGCACCTCTCGGACTCTCACTCTTATTGCTAAGGTCATCCAGAACCTGGCCAACTTTGCCAAGTAGGTGCCACAACCTTGCCCACTTAAAAAAAAACACTTTTAAAAGGCCTACAGTTTGGATGGGGATGGAAGCTTTATTGCTCATGTTAGAAGATTGGCCTTTCAGGGTTATTAAACATAGCACACACATCCCCCCCAAAAAACTGGAAACCACTTGAGTAGTTTACTTTATAGAAGAACAATTAAGGTAAACTATGATACATCCTCTCAGTAAAATAATTACACCTACTACAGATGGTGTTTGGAGCCCAAGTGAAACAGCGGTTAAGCACTCCCGTTTCTAACCAAAAGGTTGGAATTGCAAGCTCAACAGCCTCTCTGTAGGAGAAAGGTACATAATCTGTTTCTATAAAAATTAAAAATCAAACCAAGCCATTGCTGCTACATAGATTTCATCGTCCAGCAACCATGTAGGGCACAGTAGAATGGCAATGTAGGGTTTCCAGGCTGTGCTTTTTAAAAAAAAAATTTTTTAATCATTTTATTGGGGGCTTGTACAACTTTATCACAATCCATACATACATAAATTGTATAAAACATATTTGTTCATTTATTGCCATTATCATTCTCAAAACATTTTCTTTCTAATTGAGCACTTGGTATCAGCTTCTCATTTTTTCCCCTCCCACCCCCCCTTCCCTCACGAGCCCTTGATAATTTATAAATTATTATTATTTTGTCATGTCTTACACTGTCCAGTGTCTCCTTTCACCCACTTTTCTGTTGTCCATCCCCCAGGAAGGGAGTTATATGTAGATTCCCATTTCTCCCCTACCTTCCTTTTACCCTCCTGGTATCGCTACTCTCCTTATTGGTCCTGAGGGGTTTATCTATCTGTCCTGGATTTCCTGTGTTTCCAGTTCCTATCTGCATCAATGTACATCCTCCGGTCTAGCCGTATTTGTAAAGTAGAATTGTGATCTTCATAGTGCAGGGAGGTGGGGGGAGGAAGCATTAAAGAACTACAGGAAAGTTGTATGTTTCATCATTGGTATACTGCACCCTGACTGGCTCATCTCCTCCATGAGACCTTTATGTAAGGGGTTGTCCAGTTTGCCTACAGCTGGGCTTTGGGTCTCCACTCCATGCTCCCCCTCATTCACAATGATATGATTTTTTTGTTCTTTGATGCCTGGCTGTGCTTTTTATGGAAACAGACTGCCACATCTTTTTGAAACCCCAACCTTGAAGTTCATAGCCATGTGCTTAATCACTGCACCACCAGGGCCCCCTTTCTCATAAAGATGTACAGACTGGGAACCCTGTGGAGCAGTAAGTCTCCGCATGAGATTGCTCAGAGTTGGAATGAACTCAGCAGCAATGTTTACAAAGAATTTTTAGTCATATGGAAAATTATGAGGCTATCCTATTAAATGCATAACAAAACAAACCCATTCTGTCGAGTCAATTTTGACTCATAGTCACCCTTATCTAGGGTTTCTGAGGCCTTGTAAAACCTTTTATCTGCCCCCTTGGCGTGGCTGTTGGGTTAAATGAAAAATACTAGTGAAAATACTTAGTCAAAATAAACCCAAAAGTCAGAATACAGAATGGCAAGCACATATACTGTTATCTTAGCAATATGAAAGCACAAAAAACTAAATATAATGTTTTAAATGAGAAGAACTGTGGTTATATTGCTTATGACAGACAAGAGCAGTTCAAAAAGCTAATATCATAAAAAATGAAAAGTCAGGTATGGAAAAAAACTGTTGTCAATTAAGATATATCCAAATGCAAAGCTTGTAACAAATCAGTTATTGAATTATGTGTGTAATCTGTATATGAAATAGCTCATTAATAACTGTTTTTAATATTTTTTTAACTTTGAAGTACTTTTTTAGTTAAAATTTTTTTTAGTTACAAATTTGTTTGTTAATTTTAGTGTGATAGTTTCATTGGCTTACATTGGAGATAGTCCTTATTCTAAAAAGAAAGATACTGAGGTATTCAGAGGCAGTGTCTACAACTTAATTTTAAATGGTTCAGAAATTAAAACAGGATGTATGTGGTTAGAGAGAGATCATGAAAGCAAATTGGGCAAAGTGTTCAGAGATGGTTAATATAAATAAAAGGCATACAAGGGGGTATCAAAAAAAACCCAGAATTTTTTTTCCAAAGCAACATATTTAATTTTTTTTTACAAAACAACCTTAGGACCTTGGAAGTGTTCTCCATTATGCTTAATACATTTGTCAAATCTATGATTCCATTCTTGGAAAATTTTTCAAACTCATTTTTTTGGATGGCAGACAGCACCTCCCTTGTTTTTCTCTTCACCTCTTCCATTTCTTCAAATTGCTGTCCTTTCATTGCCCTCTTCATTCATGGAAACAAACAGAAGTCACATGGAGCAAGGTCAGGTGAGTAAGGTGCATGGGACAAGAGAGGCATGCTGGGTGTTTTGCCAAAACTGGCACACTGAGATGGCTGTGTGCGTTCCTGTGGTGGCAAAACCAGTCCCCTGTCTGCCACAAATCAGGCCTTCTTTGTGTCACACTATTAGACAATCTTTCAGAACCTCTAAATAGAAAGCTTGATTAACAGTCTGACCTGGTGGAGCAAACTCCAAATGCACTATCTCCCTCACATCAAAAAACCAAATGAGTATCATCTTGATCTTTGATTTCACTTGACAAGCTAATTTTTGGGCAAGGTGGTGATGACATCTTCCACTGGGTTGATTGATGTGTGGTTTGGGGGTTGTAAGAATAACGCCAGGTCTCATCACCAGTAATGACCATTTTATAAAAAGTCTGGGTTGGTTCAGAGCTGTTCTTTCAAAGCACTACATGTTTCCACTCAATGCTCTTATTCCTGGTCAGTTAGAACCCGAGGCACACATTTCGTAGCAACCCTTCTCATTCCCAAATCTTCCATTAAAATTCACTGAACCAAGCTCCAGTATAGCCCAGATAACATCCCCATCTCTTCAGTGGTCCATTGTCAGTCTTCAAGCACAAGTGTATGAATTTTGTCGACATTTTCATCCTTTCGGGAAGGTGACAGGCATCCAGAATGAGGTCTTTCATCAATCGACATCACCTTTTTTGAAACAAGAAAACCACTCATACACTTTTTTTTTCCCCCATAGCACTGTTCATGTAAGCTGTGTTCAATGTCACAACAGTTTCTGTGGCATTTTTCCCGAGCAGGAAACAAAACTTCACAGCTACATGCTGTTCTTTTAAATTGGCCATCACATAAAACAAGGTTCAAGTGAAACTGCTTTTACAAAAATATTCACCGTGACCAGAGAGAATCTTCCCAAGTGATGCCACTGGGTGCAGTAACTCAGAGTGAGTTGCTCGATGCTTGCCTAATGGGAAAAATGCATACTATGAAAGCCCTGGCCAGCAGAGCTTTTTCCGGGGTTTTGGGGGGTTCCTCTCATATAGGTGTTGAGTATGTAGTCTTTCAAATTTTCTGTAGGTTTGACATTTTTCAAGAAGCGTTAAAAGGAATTATTTTGCACTCAAATGTAGACTGCACTCGATGTAAATGCACTCAAATATAGTAAATAACTTTGGGTGGTGTAAGAGTAGGTTCAGTTATGTTTGCTTATTTATGTCTTTGAGGATCTTCAAATTTGTCCTCGGTAATTTTACAGTCATTTATGATTTTTAGAAATAAGTTTTGAGAAATGGTTGGGAAGGAATTTGCACTTGTAAAATTGATCACGGATTTATTAATATGTAGACTTAAACCAGCAGAAAGACAAGGATTTCTACTCCTCCAAAGAGTTACAATCATGGAAACGTACAGAGGGAAGTTCTATCCTGTACCATAGAGTAACTCTGAGTCAGAACTGACTCAATGGCAGTGAGTTTGGTTTGATTTTTTTCTTTTGGTAGGCTTAAACATAAGTTTCTACTAGCAGTGTGTTGGAAAAATTCAATGAAACAGATTGTTTTGTAGTATAAGTAGTGACTTTTTTAAGTACAATATTTTGACGTTGTGTACTTTATTTTTATTTTTATTTTTTTAACATTTTATTAGGGGCTCATACAACTGTTATCCCAATCCATACACA